TGTACACGTAAGACATTTAATTTGTATATTACACAAATGTTTCCGCGAACTGACAGTTTTTAGGTTAGAAAGGTGCAAAAGTGCAGAATCACTCCAGCAGCCCCTTAAACAGACATAATAATGTAAAACCAAGAATATACATATTTATATATTTTTTTATTATTAGGTTGGCAAATCCTAAATTACTGCAGGTCCATGCCGGTACAAACTTTTTGAACATAAAAGGAGATGTTTACGACATAGCGAGCTTTACTACTCACTACGATTACGACCCTACTCGTTTTATTAATGACATCGCCTTAATTTATCTAAACCGTCCTCTCACATACAACACTCTAATGCAACCGATAAATTTACAAACAACCGATGAAATTCTCGACAACATGACGTGCACGCTATCCGGATGGGGAACTACAAAAGTAATATTGTACTTATAATATGGAGTTTTCTCAATTATGTATATATTTTAGAAATTAGTTACTTGTTAAAAAAACTCATTATTTTTGCTTCATGTATAATATAACAACAAGTAATACAACAAGTTAAAAGTAACAAGTGAAAAGATTTGGTAATAATAATTTGCTTTTTATTATTTACTTTGATTCATACTCATCTAAATTTGCATTTATTCTTTCTAGCTTGGTGGAGAAGCTCCGAATGACTTGCAAGAAATAGACTTGAAGATTTATCCACAGCAAAAATGCGAGGCAGTAAACAAGAATGTGAGAGATTCTCATATCTGCACTTTGACTAAAGAAGGAGAAGGAGTATGCCATGTAAATAGTCACATATTAATCTTATAAAATAAACTTATGCAAATACATTTTTAGTACAACAGCAAAAGACTATTAATAACATAAAAAATTATATTTAAAACAATTAATTGCTTATCAAATACAATTTTATATTAACACTGAAATTATAATTATAATACTAGCTTGCAATAATAAACAATTAATTGACATTTATAATATCAATATTTTGTCATTAATAATCATATTTTTATTTCAGGGTGATTCCGGTGGACCTTTAGTTTGTAATGGATTTCAAGTTGGTATCGTCTCCTTCGGTACTCCCTGCGCGGTTGGAAAACCAGATGTTTACACAAGAGTATCTAGTTTCGCAAAATGGATTTCGAACAACTTATAGAATTAAAATAATTTATAATTTAATTTGTTTATTAAAATATTATTTCATCTTAAATAATTTATAATTTAACTTTACTAATATAATTTTATTAAATTATTTTTACAAGATGTATCCATTTGTAAAATTGTAATAAATAGTAAATGTTTATTTATAGAGCTGTTTTTGTTATAATTTATAATTCCAAATATTAAATAGTA